GGGGGGGGGACGACGGACAGTGGTTCCTGTTGCTTTTTATTTAAAGTCTCGATTAAAATTAATCTGGGAAGGTAATAATAACGAAGGAAATCAAGAAAAATATATATATATACTGCGGTATCGTTACTTCTCGGTGGCAATTAGCGCTCACCACAGGGAAGTCCTGCTGTTTGGAAATTGGCTTTGCCTCCTAGGAAACCTGAGGAAAATGCTGCCCTAGTTAACGCTGCTGTAGCTCTTAGGAGAAGCTTGAAATTAAATAGATACAGGGTTTTCTTTCAAAATATGCTCTTGAATAAATTAGTTTGCATCCAGAAATGGCATCTGTTTTCCTTGGCTCTGATATTTTTCTAAAAGTGTTTAGGTATGCAGCTCACACTGAAACCTGTGCCTAATGTCTGAGTGGTTTTGAAAATGGGTCCTGTGTTGTTTTGAGTTAAAACAGAAATACTGTTTTAATTCAAAATTTTAAATACAGAAATGTTGTGGGGTCAGAAACCCTGGGAGAGGGAAAGGACAGGCACTTAGACATCAGATCTCATGTGGTGAAAAACTAAGTGTTTAGAAGAGCTAAGAACCCTCTAACAACAGACTTTCTCTTGAGGAAGAAGCTGGAAACAGTGCATACATCTCTGTTGCTGTTAGAGGTAGGTTTTAAGGAGGCATCTGCAGCAGTTTGATCTACTTTTATGATGTTTTTGGAATCTGTATCTAGAATTTCTTCACTGGAAATTTCAGGCCTCATATCCTCTGCATTTCACTTGGGCCGTGGCTGATGTATTGGAAGAAACCTGGGCTAGTTACTACAGATACTCTTAAGTATTAAACAAACCTACAAGCCTTCTGTTCCTGTAGGCCCTCTGAACTCAGAAGACCTTCTAATTTGTATAGTACTTCTGCCTAATTATCACAATGCTGCTCAGTAGCCGCACCAATGCAGATTTCAGATGCTTGGCTGGAAGCACTCTAAGAATTATACGGCTATATCTCCATCCTTCCAAGGATAACGCAGAACTGTTGTGTTTGACTTATGCTGTGCCATATTGTTCATTCTCTTACTCTTTGCTCAGTTAGTCATTCGCATAGTGTTTGGATTATGAAGGACAATGTGACAAATCTTAATTTGATTCTCAAATCAGGAAAAGCAATTATAAATCTTTTATTTTTAAATAGTATTTTATGGTTGGAAATTATGCATGCCTTCTGTACATTGCTTGGGAGTGTATAAATACAAAAGCCTCGTTCAGCTGTTTCTTTTTTGTAATTAAAAAATGCATTAAAGTACAAATGTAGTTTTAAATCAAAATTGTTCTCAAACTGTTTCTCATTGTTACATGCACTGGAAATATGAAATTATGGCAGCTTATTAATCAATAATGTTTGCTCATGCAGGTCACTTGCTGATTTATCTCCAGTTCGCAGCTCATTAGAAGGTATGTAACTCTTCAGTGATGTTGTTATTTAACAGGTATGTTTTCATGGTGCTATTAACGACCTCTGGATTTAGTAACTCCTGACACAAGAAAGATTTCAGAGATTATTAACATAAAATTGGAATTCTTTTCCCATGTGTATTGCACACATTAGGTCATGTAATACCTAGTAATAAATTTACCAATCTGTATTTTGGACTCTCCTGCTAGGATGCCCATAAATGTCATGCAGACAGCTGAACCAGTGTCCAGGCATGTTTTCAGGTGTATATATACACTCAGATAAGTCCCAGACTTTCTCATCCTCCTAGGTGTAGGTGGTACCTGCTTAATTGATGCTATCAGCAGATTTCATCAGTGTATATCTGCTTTTCCTGTGATTGTTAAATGCATGAGACAACATTAGAACAAACACTGATCCTCGTGGAACTCTGCTGGTGATGCCCTGGCAGCATAATACTTACATTTTCAACAGTTACTCTGTACTAAAGTTGCTGAGAGCTAGTTCTGTACATAGAAATATTAGAAGAAAATACTTTGTATCCTAGTCCTAATTCCTGAAGGAGCTTTGCAGAAGTCTTCCTGCATAGAGCAGATTAATAGCTGTAATATCACTGTTTTTCATGAGAAGGCATGGAAGGAACTAGTCCTTTAAAATTATATGTACAGCATACATCTCTGCTGAAATTTAAAGAAACTGATCTCAGATACATGAAAAGGAATTGTAGTTAATGATATGACAAAAAAATGTTTTCTTGCAAGAGTCTGTAAAATAGCAGAATGTCCTGAATATTCAAAGGCTTTATTGGTTGTCTTCATTCTACACAAAATGTTACTTGAGTGTGGAAGACTTTTGCAAAATTAAGAGGGCTTAATTTAAATTGTTTGAAGGATTTGAAAGTCTTGCCAAGAGGCTCAAATGACCTTTAAAATTCGAATGCTTCCTGAGCTTTGAATGCTCAATCTTTTTAAAACTAGCTCCTGCAATTATACAACCTTTACTTCAGTTTGAATTTTGAGCACAAGAAAACAGCTCCTGTGCTCCCATATTTAAGGCACTGAAGAATAGAGACCAGTTTTGAAAGTGATGGCAGAGGAGCCTGAATTTCACTGTTGAAGTCTGACCATGTAAGTTTTGACAAGCAGACTCTCAAAGAATTTGAACCAGATATTTTTATAATGCAATGACATCATCTTGTTCCATGAGGTTTCCAGAAATCTTACTAGCTCTCTGTACAGCAGTGTGCTCATTTCTGTTAAGTCTTTCTAAACTGAGAGTAGTTCCACTGAAATGGTGTCACATAATTGTTTTAAAACTGGTGAATTAGATCCCGAAGTCTTGGGTTTCATATATAGATAGAGCCTTGAATGAAATTCAGATAGCGGAGCCGCAAAGGGCAGTTGTAATTTTTGCTCACTGCACAGGAGGGTGCTCAGCCTCTGTCTTTATCTGCAAGAAAGAGTGATTCCCATGGTCATTAGAACGAAGTGGAGAAGCTCTTTTCTGAACTGGTCTTTTCTTGTAGTGACATTGAAGGATCTGTTAAATACAGTTACTCAAAAAATATTCAGCTCTTAAAGAATTTTAGAAGGTGTTAATTGTTGTTGTAAGACCATTACAAAGGTATTTAGGTCAGAAGATGTACTGTAATGATCATCCACTGTGAAAGACCTTGGTATTCTTTAATGGGTGTGCTTAAAGGTGCCAGAATTTTCAATAGAACCTTTGAAGTTTCTCAAAATTAATTTTTTTTCCAATCTATTGTGTTAATCTGAATGTGTGAACCCTTGTGTGAATCGTTCTATTGAATAATGACTTCTCATGTATGTAAAAACCTACCCTGAGTGGATTTACTAGGAACAGGTAGATAGCTTTGTTAATTTATATTCAATCTGTAGTACCTGCTTATAGCTACATCCTTAATTATTCT